ATTGATTTATTTTCTTTTTTATTTATTAATAAAATGTTATTCGAAATTCTATCAAAATGATATTTGGATATACGCGTGTTTGTATAATATAATCGTGAGAATGTAAAAATTAATATGTGACACAATTGAAATAAAATTATATATTAATAATCATTATAAGAGAGAGAATTAAATAAATAAATCAAGATTTTCTCGATATATTGATATAAAATGCAATTGAATATTTGATCAAGATGACATTTCGCAAGACTTTATTTGCATTCTCACGAGAGTAAGTGAATAATGTTTAAATATAAATATGAGAGAAATGTCAATGTCAATAATGAAAATGATATAAAAATGACGTCGTTACAGGTACAAACGGTTCAATCATCGGGTACACCTGCGAGGACGCCAGGCGTCGGCGCGGATTCGTCCAGCGTCGACGTCGGAAAGGTCGTCGGTGGAAGGGTCACGGAAGTTATGGAATTATGTTATGTCACGGAAAGGATAATCGCTCTTTGGTATAGGGAAGATGCACAAGGTGTTCTAGAACATGCCACTACACTCCTAAGAGGCAAACATGCTGATAATTATATGGTAAAAATGTCATATTTTTTTTTTTTATTTTTTCATTTTATTCCTATTTATTATTACATTATATATATAAACGCAAATTATTTCTTTATATTATATATATATATAAATCTATTTTTAAACGTATTTACAATACGTACGATAGATCGTGTAATTTTTATTTGAAATAAATTTTTTTGACATTTGGCCTTATTACAAATTCGCAGATATTCAACCTATCATCTCCAGGAAGAGCAGGTGAATCAAATACGAGAGAAGCTGGTTGGCCACAAGGATTGGCACCAAGTTTGGAAAGATTATGCGCCCTTTGCAAGGAGCTGGACTCCTGGTTGAACGGTGTACCTAATCGCGTAGTTGTTTTACATGCAAGGTAATTATTTATAATATAATTAACTATTATAAATTAATAATTAATTATATTAGAATAAAAAATAAAAGGCAAAAGTATAACAACAAACATTTTAATTTCTTGTTCAAATTGTTCGAACACATTTTTTATATTATTATTATTATTATTATTATTAATTGTTTTTTTTTTTCTATATTTCTCGTTGAAAAGGGGTAACAAGGAACGATTGGGTGTGGCGGTATCGGCTTACATGAATTACAGCAGCATTTGTGGTGGACGCGATCAAGCCTTGGACAGGTTCGCGATGAGAAGGTTCCTTGATGACAAGATCGGATCGCTACAAGTTCCATCACATCGAAGGTAACGACTTATAACGACTCGACACAGTACGACGTTATACTACCTGTTGACGTACGACGAGAAAATTCATTTTATCGGCCTTCCCCATCTCGAATAACTCAGATAACGCCGTAAACTTCTTTACCTTTAGCGTAGGCGTGGCCCCCATCATGGTTCATGGATATATTCCAAAGACTTTCTTTTCAACTTTATATTATATTTTCTAGATTCTTTTTTTGGACAATTTTACTTCGCCTATTTCTAAAATATTTCCTCTTTTTGTTTTTTTTTTATCGTACCTTCTATCGTGAAATAAGATACAAGCTATAAACTCTAGTTTATTATAATACAACGATCTGGTATATACTAAACATTTTTAATTAATTAATTATAATTTTAGGTATAGGGATATTTCTTTTTTTTTTTTTTTATTATATACAGTTAAAGTTAACGAAGAAACGTATTTTATATATATATATATGACGATTTTTAATATTTCGAGAAAATATAATAGAAACATTGAAATAACAATATCTCAGAAAGATATAAATTTTCGTCGTGTATTAAATTCTTGCGTGTACCAATAACATTCCAACGGTAATCAAATCGTTAATATTGCATTAATAAATTTTAATAACATCCTCGTTTAATCGTTACAATCATAAAAAGACGTATAAAATGAAAGATCAAACGGCAGAAATAAAATTAGATAATAAAATAAAATGAACCGTAAATCGAACCTATTTTCATTTGAATAAAATTTACATAGAAAGAAAATAAGGTATACGAAAAAATAGGGTTGAGAATTTATAAAGAAAAAAAAAGAAAAAAAGTGGAATAGAAAGAGATATAGGATAAGGATAAAGATAAAATATTACTTTCGGTTTGTCCTTGACAATTAATAAATCCTTCGTCCGGTTTCATATACGTAATAATACGCACCATTGACCCAAGTATAGTGACTCGTCGTAATCATTTTCATCTCTTCAGCGTGTAAAAGCTGTATGTAACAAGTTTAATGAGCCGCAATCATAATGTTCTCTCTAACCTAAACGTCAGTAACGTTTCTTCAACGTCGTCCTTCCTGTTTAAACTTCTATAAATCTTTAATAAGTATCAGACCCCTTCTCGTTGTAAGTTTATAGTCTTATATTTAAGATAAGGTACATATACCAACGGTTTATGGAAATGCATAACCTAGAATTCAATTAACAGTTATGGTTAGGATCGTTTATATTATGTACATTTAATTAAACGAATAGAAATGTTTGAAATCAAGGATAGATATGAATTAGTTCGAGATAATCTGCATATTCGTGTTATTTCTAGGAAAAGAAAATCTGTTGTTCATTTAATATATATTATTATTACAAATATATTTAATTTACATTATAGAGTTAAACATTCTATTGTTTTCGAGAAAAAAAGAAATAATATTTTCAACTCAGTCGCGTACGTGTATAAGATGCGATTAATAATTATGATAATGAGTAGAGTAAAAAATTAGAAGAAGAAAAAATTAATTTATTATGATTATCATAAAATAAATGTTTAAACGATTACGTTGATAATAAAATAATCGATAGTTAGTTGGAGATTTTAATTCTTTCTTCACTTCCTACCAAGAAAGATTCTTTGAAACGATGACCAACATGATTCCATCGCATCGAGTTTCACCCTTAATTACACGAACCGCAAGCATTAGCATGTCATTAACTATGCTTGTGCTTTCACGAGCGTGTTATTCTATTATCGAGATCTTCGAGAGAGTGTACAGTAAACTAGAATAGGTTTATCTAAGCCTTCCTTATTTTAAAACAGGAAAACCACGATATCATTTTTACTTGTAATAAAGTTAATCACCAAAATTTCTAGACTTGAAAACGTAATTTAATAATCTGTTAGATTATTAGATTTATATATGCTTGAAAAAAGAAAAAAAAAACAGAAGAAAGTATATTTAATTATAAAAACCCTTCTACACAAAATTGTCAATCTACATTGCGTGTATACTATGCGTGCGCATAGTAAATCCTAAAGTAAGATTATCTTTTATTCAATTTATTCCCTTATACACGGAATAAGCCACTAATTTTGTTTTATATACTTTTGAAGGAAAAATAAATTGATATGAAAAATTAGTATAAATAATTAATTTAATGTTTTAACATTTAGTTATTTTTCGGATCAATTTTATGAAAATATCTGTACACAAAAATGATATATTTTATAATAATATGTATATAAAATATATATATTTAAAAAACAGAAAAAATGAGAAAAAAAATAATGATTAATTAAAATATCATGAATTATCATTTACAGATACATAGAGTACTTCAGTGGATTATTGTCTGGGTCATTGAGAATCAGCCAGTCTCCTCTTTACTTGACACACCTTACTGTACTCGGAGTGCCACTCTTCGAGCCTACCGGATGTCGAGCGTTCCTCAAAGTCTACGAAGGATTGACGCCCGTTTACACATCGGATTTGTACTCGGTGACGAATGCTCGTGAGTTCACGGTTAATCTAGGTGGTCTTCGTTTGAGAGGTGACATTCTCGTTAAATGTTATCATAGGGTATATTCCAAACAGAGCCGAGAAGTTATGTTCTCGTTACAGGTAAGATTTATTTCAACACGTATCAATAATTACATTACATTATTATTCGTTTATAAATAAAACATGAATATTATTTATACGCGCTCGTTCCAAATTCTTTTCTCGATAAATTAGTTCAATATAAAAAAACAAATAAAACAATTAATTCGATCAATATTTTCTCATAACTTTTGAATCGATTATAAACGTATATAAAATGGTTATACGTTAAATAATTATAGTTAATAAATAATAGATTATTACGTAATAATGAATTACGTGATTTTAGTTCCACACATGTGTCATCACGGAAAACGTAGTGTCATTTCCCCGTTCGGAACTTGACGTAGCTTGCGAAGATCCACGATGTCCACCCGATAGCGTAGTGACCCTTTATTTCGCAACTGATGCGAAACGTCAGGATGGCCCAATTCCAGCACCAACACCCGCTGTGCCCCATGCCTCGGCTCATCACGATCCTATTCTTCATTGGGACAGCTACACGAATCTCGAGATAAGCGATGACGGTAAGCTTATCTTCTTGTATACTAAATCGATTAATAATACTCCACGATGATCATTTGAGATAAATAATATCTAATTATTAAATATATTATAGATATTTAATCTAATTAAACGTGTAAAAAGGATTAATATAATTCAACAAAAATTCAATTATACATAATTGATTTTCTTAATGTATATATATTAGTTCTGTCTCGAAAAGTTTTTTCCGTTCAGACAAAAACTGGTTCAATTTTTGTCTCTAGGAATAAAGTATTTTTTTAAAATAAGATATACAAATTTTAAAGTATTTTTTTTTTAAAAGATATACAAAAAGTTTATTCAATTTATTATTTTGTTTTATTCTCTCTAAAAACGGACAGAACTTTCCGATAGACCAAAAATATATATAATTAATATAATATATATTAATAATACCATCGATATCCAAC